TAATATTCTCAAAATATTAGCTTTTTACATGCATTTTTTATATAATAAGCGATAATACTCGCTGAAAAATATGATAAAATACCTCATAGGTGAATTTTTTGTATATACCAGGTCGAATATAATTTTAAAAAATTCCAAGCTGGGCCTGAATTTTTTAAAAAATATCCGGGCCGGGCCTGAAATTTTAAAATCCGGGCCGGGCCGGGCCGTAAAAAATTTTTTTTAAAAATATCCGGGCCGGGCCTTAAATTTTTAAATCCGGGCCGGGCCATAAAAATTTTTTTTAAAAAATATCCGGGCCGGGCTTAAAAAATTTAAAACCGGGCCGTGCCGTGCAAATGGTACCTCTGCAGGTCTCTGAAAAAGTTCAAAAATAACGATTATGACAATTGTCACTTTTCTGCGGTATCTTCACTGAAATTTTAATTTAACATGTTTACAATATATATTTACCAGTTTGCTTTGAAAAAAATTGAAAAAAGTTTAAAAATAAATATTATGACAATTGTCACTTTTCTATGGTGCATCTTCACTGAAATTTTAACTTAACATATTTACAATAAATATTTTTACCAGTTTGCTTTAAAATAGTTCAAAAAAGTTCAAAAATAACGATTATGACAATTGTCACTTTTCTATGGTACATCTTCACTGAAATTTTATTTTAACATCTTTACAATATATATTTTTACTTATTTACTTTAAAAAAATTCAAAAAAGTTGAAAAATAAATATTTGACAATTGTCACTTTTCTGTGGTATCTTCATTGATATTTTAAAACATGTTTACAATATATATTTACCAGTTTGCTTTAAAAAAAGTTTAAAAATGAATATTATGACAATTGTCACTTTTCTATAGTGCATCTTCACTGAAATTTTATCTTAACATGTTTTTACAATAAATATTTTTACCAGTTTGCTTAAAAAAATTCAAAAATAAATATTATGACAATTGTCACTTTTCTATGGTACATCTTCACTGAAATTTTATTTTAACATCTTTACAATATATATTTTTACCTATTTACTTTAAAAAAGTTCAAAAATAAATATTATGACAATTGTCACTTTTCTATGGTGCATCTTCACGAAATTTTATTTTAACATCTTTTCAATATATATTTTACCTATTTACTTTAAAAGGTTCAAAAATAACGATTATGACAATTGTATTTTTCTATGATGGTACATCTTCACTGAAATTTTATTTTTACATCTTTACAACATATATTTTTACCTAAAAAATTCAAAAAAGTTCAAAAATAACGATTATTACTATTGCCATTTTTCTATGGTACTCTTCACTGAAATTTTAATTTAGCATGTACAATTTATTATTTTACCGTCTCTTCCAAAAACTTCAAAAAATATTACAAATAACGATAAGATAGATATACTTTAGTTCATCTTCTATGATATCTCAAGTAGTCTGAAAAACTAGACTAATTAACCACACTAACCCCGATTATACAGTTATGCAGTTTCGATTAGGCTCAAAAATTTGATTAGTCGACTAAAACGGGTCGATTAAGCTGACTAAAAGGGTCGACTACTTTAGTCGACTTAATTAGTTCTTTTAGTCGACTTAATTAGTTCTTTTAGTCGACTTAATTAGTACTTTTAGTCGACTTAATTAGTACTTTTAGTCGACTTAATTAGTTCTTTTAGTCGACTAAATTAGTCGTTTTAGTGACTAATTTGTTGCTAAAGTTTTTAGTCGAAATAGTTAGTCGACTAAATTTAGTCGATTAACAACATTACTTAATAGTATTTTATAAAAAAAGTGATTGTTACCAAATTATGGTGAAGATACCTAAAGGATACCTCGTTTTGGACTGAGTTATCAGGTGGGCGGGACTAGTTCTCAACAAGTCCCTCCTAGGGTTAATTCTATGTCAAAACAATAACATTTCAGCCGACCCCTTTAAATTTCAGAATTCGGTATATATAAATAAGGCTAAGCCAAAATTTTAGCTCTTATATACCTATATTTTTAAAGGTATTCGGGGTCAAATATCTTATTTTTATCATTATTGGCCTCCATTCATTTATTGATTTACTAAAAACTAATGATTTTACATAGCATTATTACAACATACAGTATACAGATTTGTTAATGAATCGAATCAAAAGATTATCGATGCTAAATTTGTCAATTTTCCCGGATTTTTGATCATGACTTAAATTGAGGATCGTGATCGAGAACTTTTTTTTAAAATTCGATCCCGATTCTTTTAAAAATTAATTTTTTACTTAAAAAGCAATAAATAAAATAAAAATCGTGAAAATTAAATTAAAATATTTATTTTTTAAAAAACATATCCATCTACATCATATTTTATCAACTTCCATTCCGCCATATTTTATATTTCAACAATTTCCTAAATTTTATCTAGAACGAGATTTAGAGCCTACAAGTTTTTTCTAATTATATTATATATAATATAAATAAATTCTAGGTTATAATAATGTCCTCCATTATAGATTTAGAAGATATTATATCTACTATTGATGTGAAGATATACGTGAGAATGAGAATCCTTTACCATTTCATAATTATAAGTATTTTACTTTATGTGAAACGGATGGAAGTAACTATATTTATGTAAGAACAAAATAACTTTGTCAATGATTAGTAGTTAAAACCTCAAAGTCTAAATATAATATTAAATTTAATCAATATTTGTGATATGACCATAAATACCATACAGATTATGGACCAGGCCTGACTGTTAAATTTGAAAGTGCTAAGTTTTGCAGATACCTGATTTATTTGAATGAACACTTATTTAATAATAAATTAATCATCATTTCTTAATATAGATTTCCTTCACTGTATGATGACAGTAACATATTGGCAGCAATAATTCATCCAAAATTTAAGCTAAACTGGCCTTATATTAATCTGCCACAACATCTGTTGGTAAAAGAAAGGTTAATTGCCCATTTGGAAAATATGCAGGATCAACCACATGCAGATGCTTCAAATGAATATATAGATGAAATAGATACTTTTTTTGGAAAAACTTCACAAAATGCTCGTTCTATTAATAATTTTTTTTTATTCAAATGATGATTCAATGAATTTTTTAATACTTATGTTAATTTAAAAAAATATATATTGAATCTAACACACCTAGGAGCGCTTGTTTAGTAAAGCTAACATGTGCTTAATGAAAGACGTGGATATTTAAATGATAATAACTTAGAAAAATATTTATTAAAGGCTAATTTTAATTATTAATAAATATATTCTAATTGTTATACTTATATTATATTATTCAATTACAATAAATTTATACCATATTTAATTTATTTTTATATTAGTTAATTTTGCATCGATCACCAACTTCCTTCAGAAATTTAAATAAGAAAATATTAAGATTGTGATCGCGATCCTTTTTTTTTAAAAAAAGTCCATCCTGGATTTCGTCCTCTTTTTTTGAAAAGATCGTGATCGGGATTCGATCTTTTTAAAAGGATAAATTAACAAGCCTGAATATATATATTTTTGGGAAAAAAAATTTTGATTTTTTTTTAAATTGTCGGCCATTATATTGTACAAGATCTAAAAGCAGAGGTTAATCCATATTTTTTTTAATACTTCCATTATATAGAAAATTAGAGTGGGACTCATTATCAAAATTTAAAAAACGAATGAAAATAGATTAATTTTATTTTTTCTAATCAGCATTTATGTAAAAAAATTTAACTGCTTTTGAGATATTGATAATTTTTGGTCAAAACAGAAATTTTTGAAATGATCTGATTTCAATATAAATCAATATTTTTGAGCTATACATAATTTTAATTTTTAAAGGAATATATTCTGTTTATTTAGTAATAAAATATTAATCATACTAAAATAATGGCTATATTTAGAAGATAATAAATATCTATATCTTTGATTGCGATTTTTTACGTTAGAAAAAATGAAACTCATATCACATGTTCCGTTTTAAAGTTTTTTATATAAAATTTTTTAAACGGTTCCACGTCAATTCGGCGCAACGTCAATTCAGCGCGGCGACAATTCGGTGCGTATCTAATACAGCTACAATTTATTATTTATTAGTATAAAAAAATGTATGATTAAATAGAAGTCATTTAGAATGTTAGTCATATTGATTATTTCTTCATATTTTTTTTACAATAATATCAATTTTATTTACTAAATGTATAATATCAATAAAAAATTTAATAATATCAAAAAAAATTAACAACCAATATTTATACCGATTTCTTTGGACAATTTGATCATATTCATTTCGAAATATTAATTTCAAATTTTCGACTGACCATAAGATGACCCATATTTAAAAAAAATTAATTATGATGTTTTCGCCATAATTATCCATTATTGACTTAGCTATTGATATTAGATTCAATATTTGATCATATTTAGATCAGTAAAAAGCAAAATTTAGATTTTTAACCCCGGTTATCTCCGCTAATATAGCTAATTCGCTAAAATTTTGTTTATGATAATATGTGAACATATAATCAGCCTACATTTTTTTATCGAAGCCGAAAAGTGATTGATTTGACATGGAATGACCCTATATATAGAACAATTGGAGATCTCAGGTTCTTTCTAGGATTATTTAAATATAATAGATTTTTAAGACATGCATATTTTAACGTTTAAAATTTTTATCATACGATATTTTCACTTACACAATGAAAAATTATATGTAAATCATCAGTTATTATGTAATACACCATCTAAAAAATTATTCCCAGTTTCATTCGCTTTTTTAAAATAAATATAAAGGCGATAAAAAAACTTATGGAATTTTTAGCCTCAATATTATAAAAAATATTGCTTTTAGATATTGTACAATAAATACATGCCCGACTTACTGCAAAAAAATACATTTTTTAATATGATTTATTATTATAAATCATGTAGTTTTTTACTTTTTAGCAAATCACTAATTGAATGTGCCAATAATTGCAAAATTTCCTATATTATAACTCCTATGAACGATATTTAGTTGGGGGACCTAGAAAATCAAACATATTATTCTTTTCCAACACTGGACCGACTTTCGCGAGAAGACGTTCATTCTAACTTGGCTCGATTGGGATTTGGTTATAGAGCTAAATATGTTCACGAAGCAGCAAAATTCATTGAGAACAAACAAATGCAATGGGGTATTAGTTAACAAAAATTATGAATTTATATAAATTTGAAAATTCGATATATTTTATTTAAATTAAATCAAGCAAAAAATTATTTAAGAAAAAACATGCATATTAATTTTATACAAAATTATTCTCGTTTTCCCAATTGTTTTAATAAATATTTAAATTACATAATTTCCATTTTTATTTCTATGGATTACTTGCATAATTTGTGCTGTACATTTGCTGGTATAATAGAAAATCTTTTTATTTAGATAAAAAAAATTTTATTACAATGAGAAAGAAATATAAAGATTTGTTACCGCCATTTAATAATTATTCTTTGGAGTTAGCAAAATTTTTATATTAACTATAAATAATATTATTTTTAAAATAATAAGATATGAAAGTATAAATTAAATTTCTTTATTTAGCCGAGACACGCAAATCTGATATGGGTACGGGAATGGAGCACTATCATTGGCTGGAAAATTTAAGACACATGGCTACTTATGAAACTGCACATAAAGAACTCATGCTTATCCCAGGAATAGGGCCCAAGGTTTATCATAATAGGCATAAAATTATGAAAGTGGATCAACTCATTACTCAAATTAAAAATTGATTTATTAGTTCTTAGCCAATCGAGCTCAACTTATATATTTTTTTAATATCAAATTCAAATAATTATCTTTATTCTATATTGAGGTGGCAGATTGCATATGTTTGATGTCTCTTAACAAAACTCGCGCAGTCCCTATAGACACCCACATTCTGCAAATCGTCAAAAAGTCGTATTCCGAGCATATAAGCGATTTAACATATAAAAGTCTCAGCAAAAAACGGTATCGCGAAATCGGTAATTAAAATTTAAAATCTAATAAATGTCCTTGAAAAAAGATCAATCCAGACCGTGATTCTAAATAAAAAGACCGGTCTTTATTTTTTGCTATTAAAAATATTTTGTTTTTACCTAATTTAATTCTTGTTTTATAATTTTAAATATAATAGTATGTTTTTTAAGTATTATTTTTAATAACTTATATCTTTTACTATAAATTGTAACCGTTTTTAAATTAAAACCTTCATTCATAAAAATTAGTATTATGTTAACAATATAAAATCAATTATGAAAAATCATTCGGTAGGTATTTAGAATTTTTGTAATTTATTAATTAATTTCTTTTTATTGGGAAGTTTCTAATTTTTTTTAAACCCTAACTTAAAAATAGACTTATGACGAACCTAGAATAGAACCAAAAAATCCATCATACATCTGGATTATAAAAATACTGCTTATTTTGATATTAATTTATTACTCAATAAAATTATAAACAATTATTTTGTTAATTGTTGCCCTTGATACATTAAATTTGATACTACATTGAACATATACTCTGTTTTTTTGGGACTATAAGTACAATGCATCTTTGACCAGGGGCAACATTAGCTTTTACAATTGCAGGGGCTCAAAAATATTTTCATATGGCTTTTTTTAGTTTAACAAACTTACTGTTTTCTTATTGCCAAATACAAATGAACTAAAAATTCAACAAAAATTAAAATAACTTTTCTAAAAAAAATAATATAATATATATAAAAGGACCGTAAAAAGTCCTCAAAAAAGCTCGGTCCCTGTCTAAGGCCGGAATTCATTATGAATAAGTAATAATTTTTATATATCTTATCCGCCAAATTAAGATTAGTTTTTTATATTCAAAGGAGAAAGAATATTTTATTTTATAATCTGGCTGATAAGGTTATTAATTGCTCTCTTTAAAAAACATAATAAGGCGATTTATTCCGGAACTTATATGGAGAATACGCCGGTTGGGCTCATTCTTATTTATTTACATCCGACCTTGGCCCAAATATAAATTCAAAATCTCAAAAAGGAAGAAAAAAATCAAAAATATTTTAATGCTCTTATTTTGTTATCAAATGATATGCTAATCGCATAATATATACCCATGAAGTATTAATAAAGTTAATTCGTTTTTAAGATATTCAGATAAATCATACTATACTTAATTTTTTTTTCATTTATTTTGCCTAAGAATATATTTAATGTGCGAAAAAGGCAAATTTTAGCCTGTAAATACTCGATTTGTTTCCATTCAAACTGAATATACTACCACTTTTAATTCTCTTCTAACATGTACTATACAAAATAAAAATTGTTATTAAAAAGATACGTGTATATTTTTAATATACATCCCATTATACTGAAAATGATTTTAATTTATATATAACAATATTTCTTTTATACAGTATGATAAAATTTAATCAATGAATATATTTTATTTCTTCTCCTTTGTTCAATCCTTTTATCATTTTTCAATCGTCTTAACAAAATTCTTGTGCGTATTTTAAAGAGATTATATTATATAGAATATAAAGTAAAAATTAAAAAGCATCAAAATCGTTAATTAATTACATAAATCTTTATAATGAAATATGGTTTTTGTTTTCAGATCAATTACACAATTTTAAATTTGAATCATTGAAGAAAAACTACTAGATTATAATGATTACATTGGTCCAGATCTTTTCTTACTAGAGTAAACATGTTCATAGACACATGATAGTTTTATAAATTTTAAAGGCCGTGATATAAAAATTACCATTGCAATGTCAACGTAAAGGGGTAATAATTGGCCAATACTAATGGTCAATACAAAATTACATTAAATTAATTTTTTCATATTGTTATTTTAATAATTTATTTTATCAATATTTTTACCTTATCAATAATATCGTAATAGAATATTTTGATCTCGTGAAATAAAAATTGTTTATTTATTAAATAACATTAAAAACTTATTTTATACAATATATTAATCATTATTATTTTAAAAATATAGCATTAAAAGGAGAAGAAAATAAAAAAGGAAGAGTTTTAGAACTAATTAGAGAGTAGATTGCCGTTAATCGATTAAAAAAGCAAGTTTTCGGCCGACCCGTTTTAAAATTGTTAAAATTTTCTGGAATTATTTAGATAGGTCAAAAAATGAAAGCCGTTTATTTTAACTCGCTAGCACACCTGATAGGGGCTCATAGGTGCAAAAAAGAACAACTTTGGAATCTGTAAAATTTTTAATATGTATATCAACTATTTATAGTACAAAAATATATAACATATCATATTGTAGTAAAGAAAATCTCTAAAGGGCTATCAAAAAAGGATAAAAATTGGCACCTTAACATTCGATTTACCTATATTGTTTTACCTGTGTTTTTAATCAAAAAAGGAATTTGTTTTTGAAATTTTTTTTTCTTTTTGTTTAGAAACCTTTTATAAATATACATACAATGTTAAAACCTTGGCGACTATCGATTTTTCCGAAATATACATTCTAAAAATTGAAAAAAAATAGATGGCACTATTGGTTGAAAAATATTATTCGGAAAATTAAAATATTGATACGTTTATAAGAAATGTGATAAAATTTCCTATTTCTGCCTCCTCTCCCCCCCCCCACCATCCTTAAAAAGTTTTAAATTTTTTAGATTTTTACTTTACTACTATATCGAATGACTTATTAGCCCTCCAGTGTTGTGATGATTTAATGAAACATATTGAGGATTAAATTAAAACCCATCCATATATAAGTATTTTGTTTGCAGAAATAATTAAAATAACACATATATAAGTATTTTGTTTGCAGAAATAATTAAAATAACACATTTATTTACATATAAAAAATTAAAAGCAATTCTTTTTTCTTTAAAATTTTTTTTAAAACTTATAAATTATTTTTAAAAACTTTTCCTAACTTATTTATTATAATTTCATTATCTCCCGTATCTTAGACTTTTCTACATCTACAGATTTTCAATATTTAACATTATATATAATTTTTTAGATTTTTCCTCACAGAAAGAATCAACTTATTCTCAAAATATTTCACGCTTTATTTGACATAACAAATAATTCTTTACCTAATCAAACATACAACAAACTCTGATACCTATCATGAACCACAAAAGAAATATGGCAAATGGAGTCAAGAAAAAATAGTCATAGCCAAAAAATGGCTTAGTAAACCTAAATTTGAACAGGCAAGCATAAAGACAATGGCCCAGATCTCAATTCATCCATTATTTCGGTATACCGTTTCAAAAGGATTACATTCCCCGAATACTACGATGACCCCTTGACCGATTACATAATCAATCAAAGAGGAAGGAACAAAAATGATGATTCAGAATTGAAATCTAAAATTATACAGCTACTAGAACATAATAATGGATTGACGATAAAAAATATAGTGGAAAATTTACCACCTCATCTCAAAATAAGTGATTCGGGAATATCTAGATGCATTAAATCAATAGGGTGGAGCAGGAAAAGGGTTGGAAAAAAACCCGATAGACGGAATTTCCCAGATGTTATAAATATTCGTAAAGAATATTGCCTAAAAATGATGAACGTGCCATTTCAAAATATATTCTATTTAGATAATACAGGCTTCAATTCCCATGTCATTTCCCACTATGGATGGGCACCTCTGCGTAAGAGGCCATCCGTCAAACTCTCTCCTTCAACGGGGAAAAACGTATCGGTTTTGTGTACCATAGGAATTAATGGTCTTAAAAAATACATGATTATAGACGGGGCATTTACATCAATAAAATTCAAAACTTACCTGGATGAATTAAATTTACCGTTGAATTCACTAATAATTATGGATAATGCGCCCATTCACCGAGCTCATATAATAACAGAAAATTATCAAAATATAGCATATCTTCCACCCTATTCCCCGCAATTAAACCCCATTGAAAATTTTTTTGGAGTTTTGGAAAATCAGTATCGCTCTATATATCCAAAACCAAATAACAGAATTCATATAATTGAGGCTGATTTCTCAGTCTTCTACTCACATACGATACGATATATCGAAGAGGGAATCCGATCTATTCCTTTGAACAATTAATTTAATAAATTATTACACTAGATTATTATATAATATAGATATATTTTTTCGTTATATTATGTGCAATGCAAATAGAAAAATAAATATTTTTTGAACTTTAATATGTAAATAAAATAAATATACATTATAAAGATTTCACAAGTTATTTTCGAAACTATAATATAAGAAAGGCAAATTTGATAGAAAATAAAATAAACAATGAAGAAATTAGGTAAAAATTATCATAATTTGACCTTAAGTTTTACCCATAAAATTTTTTATCTTAACTCATTCAAAGTCTTCCAGTTTATAGATAAAAATTAATTTTAAAGAAAAAATATTTTAAATTTTTTTTATATATTTCAAATGTATTATTCTAAGCAAAATACTTATATATGGATGGGTTTTAATTTAATCGTCAATATGTTTCATTAAATCATCACAACAATGTAATGAATATTTTATTAGGTATATTTTACTAGCATATATTTTACAAAATAAACTGTTTAAAACGATCTCTCTTTCTGCATAATATTTTTAACTTGCCCATTCAGATTAATTTTAAATAATCATTATTATTTTTTCGTATGCCTTTCAGGATTTGGAGAGTGCAAAAACGTATATTCTAGGTGCAGATCAATTAAAATTTTATACTATATCACAGGTGGACGAACCAAATGTTAAAATATCAAAATGTTGCAACCCATTTAATCTACAAAGACATGTTTATTATCGCAAGAATCTAAGAAAGATTCCACCCTGGATAACCCAAAAAAATTTACCAATCAATTTAGATATGTTATTATGTTCTTCATGTCGACAAAAATTAGCAAACATTCCTTATACTTCAAATGACAATGTAGATATTGATTTCATAGGGTAATTGATAACATTAATATATCTCTACAATCAATGGGAGACGCTTATGAAAAAAAATATTAAAAAATATATATCTAGAGTAAAAAAAAGTTTTAACGACTAAAATATTAAAATTAAAAATACTCTGTTTTTATTGTAAAATTAAAGAATTATGAAAATTTCCACAAAAAAAATTTATTCAAATAAATTAGTTAATTAAATATTCAATTAATAGAAAAGCTTAGTATAAAGTCAAAAATGATTACAAAATTACGAAATAAGTTATAATTTTCACAATTATCGGGAAAAAAGTATAATATTAGTAAACCACAAATATATAGTCATTAATTTTTGCTGTCATTTATTGATTGAGATCTAAGTTTCCTTTTAGTGTCAACGTTATAATTGGGAGCAAAATAGCCTAAGTCTAGTATTAGGAGATAATAGTCTTCTTAACGTCGCTTGTGGTATAAGTGGCTACAATTAGAGGAGTTCCAGGGTAAGACGGTGCTTCGTCATTAAGATCCTGTAAGTAGTTTTAGGAGAAGAGCTTGATAAGTTGCTTGATCGTAGGGAGCCAGCTTATTGTCAGAGGTTGCCAGGTGTATGACGGATTTAGGTTCTCCAGTTTTTTAGATATTAACCTGGCTTTGGTCAGGTCATTTTTGTGATTCTTATTTTTATCTGTGTCATTACCCTTAAAAATGTGGAAATGTGATTAATGGGTAAGGGGTAGATAGTTGCATCCTTAATTTGTTATGTGAGAGATTTTTTGCTGGCGGGATCAGGAACTTGCAAGGTAGTAAAGGCAAATGACAGGGTATCCAGCCAGTGTTTTACATAAGAATAATAAATAAAAAAGGAAGTCAAATTTTCGACAGGTGCCTCGCAACTTGAAGCCTTGCTCCCTTAGGTATTCGTGAAAGAGAAATATCTTTGGTGTCACTAAAAATATTTCTACATCTGTGGAGTCAGCTGGATCAAACGTGGAAACATTTGTGCCAGTGGATACAGGAACTGTTGGGCTAGTAAGCACATCAGCCAATGTGGTAGGAATGTTGACTATGGGTTGTTTAGTTGTGAGGGCAAGGGCAGAAAATGCATTAAGAGTTCGATGAATTGCTGGTGATAAGATCAGTATTCCAGATTGAGGACACTTAATTTTCTGGTTTCGATGAGATGACAATAGCCCCAATTTGTTTATTTTTATAAGTTTATTACTCAGTGGGCAGTTATATTTAATATAGGTGCTGTGCTGAGGTCTGGTAGGCTCATGAATTGAAAATTTTTACCAGATTGTCACAATTGTGATTATTGGCTAATTGTATGTATTCTTCTGTAAATTAATATTCATATAAGTAGAATATGATGAAATTTATGTTGTTGAGTGACCATCAATCATATAGTCCATTTACTAATAAATTTAAAACTCTTTATATCGAATAATTCTATCAATAGTTATTATATTGCCAATCCAATATCAAATAGGCACAATTTTAATATTCTATTCTCAAATGAGTTTTTTATATGAGATCAGGATATGAAAGCTTTAATTGCAAAGATGGTTTCATAATGGGGTAATTGATTAATATCATTAATAACAGCATTATTGTATAATGGGATTTGTGATGGAGAGTGAGGAATACTGATGGTGAGTAGAACCAGAGTGTGTATACTTGAACACCCATATGCAATAGAGCAGTATAATATGCCTCAAGGATGACAAAGTAACATTCGAGTTTGTAATCAATTTGGTGATTGTGTAATTTAGAATATCAAATTTATTTGATTGAAATAATTTATAAGAATATGGTATTAGGTTAGAGTGAATATAATGTTATTTTACGTGTTTTTAACTGATTAATATATATTTTGAGCTTAATAACTTATTAACTTTTAAAAGAACAGAAGTTGGATAGCTGATATTATATTTTGTATTATAAACCTAAATCATCTGGTGCTGTAGATTATTTAAAATTTCATAGCAAATGGATATCGAAATCGATGTAATTGAGTCAGACAATGATAATCTTAATGGTTAAAAGTACCCTGGAAGAAAATGTTCTTGATAACAATAATACAAATCTTCCATTTTCAAATTAATGTTTAAAAAAAGGTGGATACAAATTTATTTGTTTAAAATGTAGAAAAAATATATTCTCAAATAAATCTAGTAGCTATAACCTCAAAAAACATCTTTATTTTTAAATCATAATAGTATTTTTATTTTGTAAGAATGTTCATACCAACAGTTTAAAGAGTTAGAAAATCATTTTAATAAATTTGGTAAAGGGGAGACTACATTCGTGGATTACAAATAAATATAGATTTAACATTATTACCATCAAATTTGACAGTAAGAAAAATTGTAAAGAATTTAATATTTCATATCATATGGCGTTCAGGTTTAATAAAAGAAATAGGGTTTTTCTCAACACCAAATCCTAAACCCGGTAAGACAATAGATGCCGCCAGCGTTGCTATTGTCAAAACTTTTCATAGCAATGATGAATATAGTAGATCGATGCTTGGGAAAAGGGATTTTGTTTCTATAATAAAAAATAGTTAAAAGATTCAAGTAAGAATTAATTTTAATGGGATAAAAGTAAGTGGCATTTCTGGGCCACATCTCATGATAAATCAGCTTGTTACGGGGTCGGAGGTACAGTCAAACGTTTATTGGCCAGGGCTACTTTACAAAGACCTGTTTCAGAACAAATCATTTGTCCTAAAGAGTTTTTTGGCAAATGTAAGGAAAATATTAAAGGTATAAGATTTAAAATTTATTAACATATATTATAATTTGTTTTATTAAGGAATAGATTTCTCCTATATTATGGAAGACAAATATGAGAAAGAGAAAATGAGAGATTCAATAAAGCGCGTACAATAACAGGAACGCATACTTTTCAACCAATTTCTTAGGATAAAATTGAAGCAAAATTTTATTCAAACTCAATAGAATCACAAATATTAAATATAACATTTCACTCGAATATTTATGCGAATTTACTATATGAAAAAATGGATATATTTAACATATATCTATGACAATCAATGGTGAGTCTATGTTTTAGAGAAAACAATCGAAAAAGAGGTGTTAGTTAGTTTTTTGCATCCTCAAGACCCTCAAATTCTTATACAAATCCATCCTTAATTGACAAATTGTGGATACATAAATCGCAAATTTTAGATAGTCAGTCCTTCAACTGCTATCGAAAGAATATATACTTTACATAAGGATGAGACAATTAAAACTATTCATCTTTTTAATTTATTTTCTTAAAATGTATAATTATTTATATTTAACTAAATTTTGTTTCAAATATATTTTAAATTATGGAATGAATAGGATTATCCATCTATATTTCTATATTATTAATAAAAATTGTACCAAAGATATTTATAATTGTAAATTTGTTACATTATTAAGTGTCTAATGGGGATTAGCCCACACTGCCCCTCAGTTTAATTAGTATATTTAATAGAAATTTGAAATTGTTCGGTATAAAAAGTAAAAATATCCTGTTATTGGTCAGTTAGCAACCAAATTCTAAGCATAATCTATAATTTAGTAAAGCGTCATCTATTTTTTTTCAATTTTTGTTAACGGGAGAGTCGATAGCGTCGCCAAGGTTTTGACATATAATATATATTTATAAAAGGTGTCTAAAAAAAAGCAAAAAAAAATTTGAAAACAAACTCCCTTTTTTGCTTAAAAATACAGGTAAAGCAATATAGGTAAATCGGAAGTTAAAGACCCAAATTGGAGCCAATCTTTATTTTATTTTGATAGCCCTTTAGAGATTTATGTACCTACAATTTGATATATTATATTTTCTTTTACTATAAATAATTTTTGAGATGATAAATAATTCGAGAAATTTTCAACAATTTTAAAAGAGTTCGGCCGAATCGTGCGATTTGACGTGGAATGGCCCAGATGTGAGATCGCAAATTTTTAAGGCGGATAAAAAGTATACCGAAGTATATTAAGATAGTGAATATAATTGGTATGAAAACGTAATCTTTGCAAATTTCAGAATATTTGCCAATTTTAAGTATTCTTTTTATGACAACGGATCAATGGAGGAATAGTTTCAAACGAGAAATAGGCTTCTCCTGGGATCAGAGTGATATCATCGGGTCTAAAAAGTCAAGATGGTTCAAGTATGGCCGGTATTTGGGCAGATTTTAAGACTCAGTAAATCAACAAATTGCTTGGTTGTTTCTGAGGATTCGGCCTTTACACGTTCGACAGTATCTGTCTTCCTTTGATATCTATAGGAATACTGCAGCCAGAACTGCGAAATTTAACAAAAATGACGCAAATTAAACTAACATCAAGTAATAAGTAGGCGAATACATTGATGCGAACTGGGGTAAAACTACCACAAAAAAATGAAGGCGAAATATCAATAAGAATAGAATTAAATTCATATAAAAAAAAAATTGATAGTGGTTTTTACATTTAATGAGAAATCCAAAATTTCATATAAGACATACAATATATAAGTATCAATGCCACAGGTATTAACCAATACATCGTATCGGCTAAAATGTTATATCGACACATCTCTGAAGTGGTAATAATAAGATAATTATAAAAGAAATTTTTCTAACTCTTTAGTCAAATCCATAAACAAGGAAGCATCTTTGTGTTTAAAGGTGTCAGTATTAAAAGTCAGCATACTCTTCAAAATGTCAATCCATTCAACATTGTTACCAAAATTTTTTGGAACTTTATATATTTTTTTAAATATAAAATTATGATTTAAACTCGATCTTATCATGAAAACACATAATTTAATCATAATAATTTAATGAGAAAGAAAGATAGAATTAAATAGTATTCGCTTACCCTTCCAACTTTCAATATTTGAGGCTGTATTAAAGTTATTAACTTTATCGTATTTAATAATGATTCCTCTTAAAATGTATTCCAATCTTCTAATTTTAACGATTTCATGATCAATCAAGCCAGCTGACGTAGGTGAAAACTTTTTATAGATGACTCGTATCAAAAAAAGCGTGGACAAATTATTGATGACCAATTGAATCAATATAGGATTCCAATATAACTTGTTAAAGGTTATCCAGTCTTATGAGTAAAAATATTTTTTAGGCGAAATAAAATTAATTTATAAAAAATTTAGCATTGAATCCAAAGTCTAAAAATTTATTTTTTATAAAAAGCAATAAATAAAATAAAAATTAAAATATATTTTAAAAAATATCCATCTATATCATATTTTATATTCCACTTATAGAGAACATTTATGAGATTTACAGCCTACAAGTTTTATTTACTTATTATTATATATATATAATATAAATTAATTCTAGGTTTTAATAATGTCCATTATAGATTTAAAAGATAATACACCTACTATTGATTTGACAGATATAAGTGAGAATCTTTTACCTTTTCATAAGCGACGTAAGTATTTTACTTTATATGAATCGGATGGAAGTATGTCATGATAACTTTGATATGCTCTTTCTGTAAGAACATATCTTCAAAGGTTAGTAGTTCAAACCTCAAAAGGCATTTAGAAATAATTTACTTCTTTTAAATTTTTTTTATTTGTTAATCTTAATGTCAACATATTTATTAATACATATAATATTTTTCTTTTATAAAGAGAAGGCATAGTGAATTAAAATGACATTGCCAAACACATAAATGAATTCTCTAAAAAAACAAATTAATCTCTGCAAAACCAAAGTGGTTGCAAATCCAAGCAAACAAAATTAGATTTTAATAATCTAAATATTCCAGCAATATCACAAAAAACAACTGACAAGGTTATAATGGAATATATTATTGATATCTTCCAACTGGTTTATGATCCTTCATTTGTGAAAATCATTAAAATATTTTCTCCAACTATAAAAATTATGTGGGCAACAAAATATCTATTGCCTAACATATCTTATAAGAGATTTGTCTGAAGTTAAGCCTCATATGTATGCCCCACTACTAATTGTTGGAGTGGTCATTGAAGGTATATTATTTTTATGTTAATTTTATAATGTACTATTTTAAGGCTTTTATCGAAATTACTGCTCATTTGCTGGACCCATTAACCCTCAAGAGAAGATCAGTAGCTTTGGCACTGAGCGCATAATTGGAAAGCTAACGTATGATGTTTTGGCTAAGGAAATTATGGATATTCATGAGTCTTATAAAATAAAAATAAGGTGGTGAAGATGACCGACAATGGCACTAACTTTATCAAGGATTTTAAGTAATATTTCAAAAAATTATTTTGGTTAGGGTTAAATTTTATATTTTTTCTAGAGTTTTTGAAGAAAATGAAGATAGTGAAGATTTGGAATTAATAAATTTAGATGACATATTATCTGTTGATGACTCAAATAATCCTTTAGCCTACCAAAACATCAACGTTGTTGTTTTCGAAATCTGAACCTTATTGCAACCACAGATGCGGAGAAGGTGGAAAATGATATCAATTTTAAGCGAATATCGAGATCAACATTTGCTAAATGTTTCTTTAATTAACAAATAAAATATGTCCCCTAAAATGGCTGATATTCTATTGGAGAAATTGAGAAAATATCTTATAGCTCCCAACAAGACCAAATTGAACTCCTACTTTCAGTCAATGAAATAAATTTGTGATCAAATTGGATTCACAGAACCGTAACCGTAATCGAACCGATATAATTATTTTTTGAAGGAGTAAAAAGAACCTTTATAAAAAAGGTTAAACCGGTTCAGTTTATATATTTTAGGAATCAAAAAAATTTGAATATCCAGAATTATATAAACTTACTCTTATAGTACTGGCGGTTCCCGCAACACAAGTTTCTGTAGAAAGGGCCTTTTCGGGGCTAAAATTTGTGTTATCGTCACAACAAACAAATATGAATCCATTTATATTAGAAAATATATTACTTATAATATATTTAAAAATGAGTTATTTTGAATCTTATATATTTTTTTATATATAATTCATAGATCTTATAATAAAAATAAATTAACGATGGTGTTGCTTCAAAAAAAAAAATTTCTAACAGTAATGAATCATTATGAACCATTATAATTAGCTGAACAGAACCAACCTTTGTAAATTTTTTCTTAAAACCCGTAACCAAAACGTAACCATTATAATATTTTACATATTGAACCGTAACCAAACTGAACCGTTATATATAACGAACCGTTATATATAACGGTTCGGGTCTCTGGTAATAATATAATGTTTTTATTTAAATAATTAAAATAAAAATATTAAGGTTATGGAACCCTTGGAAACATCATTAAAGATCTTGAAACGGAAGGATTATGGACCAGCGCTATCTAACCCCTCTAATAGATAAATTAAGGAAATTTAGCTGCATGCGGTATTGTCAGCCCCTTGTAGAGTGTGTTCGTAGAGGTTTTGATAAAAAAAAGTATTAAATTTTTATGCAATTATTTTATATTAATAGTATTATAGATCTGTAAAATTTATTAAAAAATTGCAATGAACTTGGCAAATTTAGTAAAATATTTTTAACAGGCCAGAGGCCTACTAAATCTGATATCTGGTAAAATTTTAATGGGCCAGCACAGGCACAAAAAGTTTAATAGATTTTTTGAATTTTAATCTTATATATTGATTAATATTCTTTAAAAATAGATCACAATATGCTTATTTCTTTGTATATTAAGTCTAAATATAATGTTTTAATCAATATTTATGATATGACCCTATAAATACCATATAGATATTAGGCTAGAACTGACTGTAAAATTTGAAAAGACTTTTGACAGATATCTGATTTATATGAATGAACACTTATTTAATATAATTATCATTTCTTAATATAGATTTCCTTCACTGTTTGATGAAAGTAACATAAGCAGCAAAATTTAAGCTAAATTGGCCTTATATTAATCTGTCACAAAATCTGTTGGTAAAAGAAAGGTTGCATTTGGAAAATCTGCAAGATCAACCACATGCAGATTCTTCAAATGAATGTATGGATGATATAGATAATTTTTGGGGAAAAATTCTTCACAATTTCCATTAATATTTTTTTATTCAAATGATGATTCAATTAATATTTTTAATATTTATATAAAGTTTAAAAAAATATTTAGTGAATATAACAAGCTAAACATGTACTTAATGAAAGACGTGGATGTTTAAATGAAACTTTAAAAAAAAGTATTATTAAAGGCTAATTTTAATTACAAATAAATATATTCTAATTGTATATTATATTATTCTATTACAATAAATAGCACCATATTATTTTTATATTAATTAATTTTGCATCGATCACAATTTCCTTCAGAAATTTAAACTTTTTTAAAAAAAGGTCGATCCTGGATTTCGATATTTTTTTTTGAAGAGATCTCGATTAACAAGCCTGTGTGAATGTGAAATAAGTATTTTATGAAATCCAATCTATATGATGTTAGAAGTTATTTTATACAATTAATGATTTTTGATTAGTTAAATAAAAATTCATCTTAGTTTAATATTTCTCTGTTTCATTTTTATTCCATTATTTTAAATTATATATAAGTTACAGGGATAAAGAAACAACTTTAAAGCAATACCTAAACATATAAAATTCCACTATTCATAGATTAAATAAGATATAAAATGCAATATATAATACAAACAAAATTTAATATCAGACATAGGGGAGTCCATGATGTGAAAAACATTCAACATGGCATGTATATTTGCTTAATTTAAAAAAGACGGCGAATTATTCGGGGAGTTTTTTTATTAAGAAATTTTAAATTTTTGTCAGTTAATAAATAATTTTTTTATATTTTAAATGTAATTAAGTTTAAAAAAGAGGAAAGCAATGTACTGCAAGAATTTATCATTCTCAAAATTCTTAGTAATGTAAAATTAGAAATAGAAACTTTATTTAAAATGCGTCTCAACCCTAAAATGATTATGTAATATTTACAAAAAAAATATTACCTTCAATAAATCAAATAAGAAATTTTTTAATGAGACTAAAGACAAAAAATAAGGCTATCTATTATAAGATTAGTAAAATGATTATGTAATATTTACAAAAAAAAAATATATTACCTTCAATAAATCAAATAAGAAATTTTTTAATGAGACTAAAGACAAAAAAATAAGGCTATCTATTATAAGATTAGGGGAATTGGAAGAATAGCATACTGAAAAATCATTACTACCAATTTCTGAAGATGCTGCCTTTATAACAAATTTTGAAATAAATGATGATGAAAAGGCTTAATTTAGATTTTTCATATCTATAAAAAGCTTTCACAATCTAGCTAGTCTTTCAATTAAGCTCCATGTGCCATCTATTTGTAGGTGCTTCTTATGCAATAGGTATTTCCATTATTTGGGCTTGAGTGTGTTATAATGAAAAAGAGAATATTATGAATTTGTTTTTAAATCTTTAATTAAGGGTGTTAAACTAATATCTGGACATATGTTAAAGAAGTATTAATATCAGATGCTGCATAAGTCATTCACATTAGAGATGGGTGCGGACCTAATTTTTTATTCACGACCTGCTCGTTCACGGTGGTAATTAAAAAATTTACGCTATCCACCAAAAAATTTTCGACTCGACCCGCCCGCTCACGAAAGGCAATATTTTGATTCACGCCCGAAAATTTAAGGTGTTTTTAAATTTTTCAAAACTATTGCTATAATTTTACACTTTTTTGAATTTCAATTTATTTCTCATTTCATAATCCATATTAATAATAAAAAATAAATACAATCTATAAATCGAAATTTTTATTTAGAAAAAGAAGAATGTCCATCTTTTTTTATATCAATTGTGTACGCCTTTCCTCTAATAAGAGATTCGCTACAGAAAATAACCTTTCACTAGAAGCCAAACTTGCCGGGGCTAACAAAATTTACTGGCTAATTTTCTCAAAAAGGGAAATGAATATTCCTGCTTCCAAAACTTCAAAATATTGTCTTGTTATTTGTCTATGAGCGATGAATTTTTTAAGTTCATCCTAACAGCTTTCTAGGTGTTAATGTTTCATCTGAATCATCTAAAAATTCTCTAAATTTTTCATTTAGAATATACGGTCTTTTATGAGTGTAGGATGAATTAGGAAAGTTA